ATTTTCACCGGTGAATGAATTAACTGTGGGCAGATTATTAATATTAAATTATTAATCGTAACTGGATTAGACAGAGAATTGAGAACAGTATTACTAAATATGCCTGAAAAAAGAATATGAAACTATGGTATAACAGAAAGAATATGTATGTATATGAGTCATTTGTAACTGTATTGTACAATTGGTGAAAAATAATGAAAGTCACTTTAAACAAAATTTGATTCGCACTTCTTGTTGGCAGAAAAATTGGTGAAAGGTACCTTCAGATTTGTTAACTTTTTAATCTGAGAAGTTGCCAGAATAAACACTAATTTCATAGTGAAGGGAATCTTTCTTTTGGATAAATCGATGGAATTTGTTCTTTTCCATTTCTTGCTTTATATCTGTGTATGATATGCATAGAAAGAAGAAAACGTCAAAGATTCATCTAGCTGAACTAGTGTATGGATTATATACACATGAATGTTTTGTTATACAATGAGGAACATAACGGTAAAAAAAAACTGCAATTTCTGCATGTTGGATAGTGGCATCATTTGTGAGTAGTTCCATTCTTTTTTAAATGCTACCGACCTATTTGTGTCTTTCTGTTCTGTCTCCATATAGAATACTTTGCATTCTTTTTTGTTTATATTGAATAAACTAGGCGTCTGAACAAAAAAGGTGGACAAAACAAAAATGTATGGATTATGTCTATTTTCTTCCTGAGTTATTTCAAAGCTAAATCGTCGTTTTTGTTTGCTCTGCATTTGTGTTCTAGGTTGTGAGCGTGAGAGTGTTACTGTCAATGGTTATATTTTCGAAAACTTAGAAATCGTCAGCAGCAACGGACTTCTTTTAATCTTATTCTAAGTTTCTGACAGGATCATCACTAGAGTCCTGCGGTAAGAAAAAAATTTCATTACTTTACCGTTACTATTATCATAAAAAGAAAATTTTAATTTTTGGTAATAGCTAGTAAATGGTAACAAAATTTAAACTTCATGGTAATGGCGATAGTAACGAACACATTTCAGCTTCTACTTCATAAATCATACAACCTCTTTATTGAAAACGTGAAAAAAAAATCAGCAAAGGATCGTTAACATCAGTTAATATCTTTATTTCTTGTTTTGTATAATATTACTGTATATCTGTTGGTTGAGAAGCAGATAATTTATTAAATTTTCATTTAGATAGAAGAAAGCAAATTCTTTTGCCGTACACTGTTGTATTTTACTTTAGTACATATAAAATATTCCAACGTTATATAATCTTCAGGTTGATCCTACATATTCTTTATTTTGTGCCTTATGCACGTGTTTATGGTCTTTTTTCTTTCCCTTTGGTGGGAATATGTTCTATTACCACAAGAATTCCATTACTATTACCGTAGTAATGGTAAAACATTCATGATGGTGGTAATGGTAAAAACAAAATTTCTATCGATGGTAATGGTATGGTAAATGGTAACTGGAAAGTCATGGTAACAGGACTCTAATCACCACGGTCTTTGCGATTTCTTACAACAGATTTAGGCATTTTTTCTGTTCTATTACTTTTTTTGGGGCGTGATAGGGTGTGAATTTCGTTAAGTTTGACCAAACCGTTATGCAATTACTACCCAGAAATTCCAAGGACAAATGAAACTGTCGTACGATACATTCTTTTCTTAAAAATCAAACATTTTTTTTCGTTCTCTTCTACACGTAACGCACAACGTGCATTTCAAACGAATTTTTCGTCTTCTTTTATACAAATCAACCCAGTGTATATGGTAAATAAAAGCATTTATTAGAATCCATCATTCACTTGCAAGAAAACTGTAAAAGATAAACACATAACAACATAACAACTTTACAAAAAACATAATAAAAAGTAATCGTCAGTTTAATTTATTCTTTCGCATACACCTGTCGTCGTAACTACTAACACACATCTGTTAGTTAGATGATTACTACCGTAAGTTAAATTTCAGTGACAAATGAACCACCATATAAATCATGATTCTAGTCCTTCTGCGTCTAGACGTCTGAAAACAAGAAACAGGTCAGACTTGAAAGATGATTAACAACAAAAAATGGTTATTTTTAGCGCTTTTTTTGTAAAATAATGGCGATTTTGCAATAAAATTAATTTCTTATATAAAAAAGCCGTCGCGGTACACCGAGGTATCGTAAATTGCAGTGTACGGCGATAGAGGACTAATCCCGTTTTATATGAAAAATCACGAATTTGTTTACAAGGGCTTTAGTTGCGCTTTTGAGCTTGTTTTACTTTTTATTTTTGTCTGTTTCGTCGCAGTATGGCAGTATCTATTTTGATGAATGAAAAGATAGTCAATAGTTAGTGGGGAAAAGATAAACGAAGACAAGAAATTTACTGTTACAATATAGCTGAAGGCTACAACGTTCTCTAACCTCTTACTGTTCAACAAAACTTATGAGAAGTTCTATAAAGAGGACGAATAATATTTATCTTTTAGAATAGACTTCTTTTTCTTTATGTAGAGTTACTGTTTATATCATAATTATAAAACTATAGTAGACCAACAATCGATATCGTTATTAACATTATACAAAAATAAGAAAATTCCTTATGATTATATCTATTTTTCGAACAATATATCGAAGAACCATTACTCCTTTTATTGAAGATGAATTGACTCAAACATTCACATCTTATTTCTGTTATTTATATTTTCTACTGTTAAGACTGCTTTGTTATTTTTATTTATGTTTAAAGAAATGTTCACTTCTTATTTTACTTACATTTGTTACAATAACATTCGTTTATTCATTCAGTTCATCATTTTATAATATATTCATTAATCGTACTTTTTCATCAACACCCGGAAATAGAGTAGTCGATTATCCAAAGCATGGACAACTGTTGATTGATGAAACAGATCTGTTAGACTTTAAACAGTCATTACCCACTTTGTCAACACACATTCAACTGTTAAAAGAAAAATATTTTAATAAAACAAACTTATATTGCCAATATCCAAAATTAAATATTGATTCAAAAGATATATGGAATCATTTGAGACCGGTGAAACAGAAACAGCCGGCGTGTAGAAAAATACAAAATTGGGTATACACGGACAATGGTTTGTATATGAATCACTCTCGGAGAAAATATTAACAACTTGACTTGACTTGTGACTTGTGAAGCGTATTATCCTATAGGCTCTAACTGTGAAACTCTGACGCTTTCTTGTACTCTATGGAGTTTACAATAAACTCCGAGTTAGATTCTGTTCTTCATGATGAGGATCTCTTGGATGTCACTAGGTCGTATAAGTTTAATTTGAGACTCCTGTGAATCTACAAAGCTTACACTTCTTCCTTTTATACTGAAAGTATAACTTGAAGTTTCACAGAAACAAGTCAAGTCTTCGTGGAAAAATCAATGATTTACTCAGCTCTGCTCTCGATATTTATTATTCTTCAACTTTCATCATTTTTAAAGGTACATTTCGTCTTTCACAACAAGCAATACAAAACCATGGTCCAATTAATTGTTCTTATCGCGCTATATTACGTGGTAAAAACGATTTTTCAGTACTGGATGGACCACTTCTGTCTTCGGTTGTGGATAAAACGCCTTTAGTGTCGGATTTTTTTCATGTCCATTGTCGTGGACGTGACGGTTCAGTTTATAGTAATATACATTCAAGTATTAAATTTGATGCCGATCTACATATGCGACACATATTGAATCCAATGGTAAAAAGTCATCTAGGTAGGCAAATACTGTCTCTTCCTTACAGTATCATTGAATGATTGTGTGAACGTTTTAGGTTATAATGTTCTAATGTTCGGTTTTGATTCTGTATCACGAATGACATTCATGAGATTATTACCAAAAACATACTCATTCTTAGTTTTTCAGTTAGGTGCTGTTGTTATGAAAGGTAGGTATAGTACATGGGCTAGTTCTCAGATTTACGCGACCTGAAATCGGGCAGGATCTCACTATGTGCTTCTTATAGCCGGCGCTCAATTACATGGATGCAGATATCCAATTTTCGAAAAGAAGTGTGGACTAACTGATAAAAACATCAGCACAAATCCAGTTTCTCAAAAATCCCGTTTGTAGTGCCTTGCCTTACTATTGTCGCACTAAACCTGAATGACCAATCGACATAACATTCACAGTTTTCTCTATGATCTAAGGTTCGGGTGATGCCCTGTCTCTACGCCTGAGGCAAGGGAATTAATAAAAATGATCCAAAACCGTATTTTAGAATTTAGTTAAAAAAGCGATAAGTATCAGGTGTTTTATAGCCAAAATATATCCGTGACATTGTTCTTTCCAATGATGCAACTCTATCTCGACGTCTTTCTTTGGTGTTGAGTTATTTAGCCTACAATTTCAAAAATTCTGGACTATGATCAATCGATTTGCTCCTATATCATGTGTCAGATCTCTCTCAATTTCTTTCGTGAAAACATTTCGTACAAAACTACTTGTGCCCGATGTTTCAAGTTGTTTTGAAATTAGAGTAGACAACTGTCTTTCAAAGGAGAGTTGCCAAGCTGCCTAGTACGTTCGTGACGAGAGAAGTGCATTATAATTTCGGTCACTGGTCTAACCTTGTTTGGAGTAGCAGCTAGATAAATAAAAATTGTATATCTCATCAAGAAATTCTGATCGGTCAGAGATTTATGATAGAATTTCTTTCGTGAAAACATTTTCTAGAAGACTACTTATGCTCCATGTTGCAAAATTTCGTAGTGAAAGTAGCCAGAGATTGCGAAAAGGTGTTCTTCAGAAATCGTCTAGAAAACCGATTCATGGAGTTTTTTTGAAAGTGGAACAAACAAGTATCTTTCAAAGGAGAGCTTCCAAGCTCTCTAGTACGTTCGTGAAGAGAGAAGTGTATTAGAGCTTCGGTTACTGGTCCAAAGCTTGTTTGTAGTAGTAGCTGTAGAAAAAAAATGATATATCTCATCAGCCAAACATACTGGAGCAGAGTTGGAACCGGATGAATTTTTCCTAACCGGACAGGACTGGCCGATTCAGCTTTTCGAAAAAAACGGACAGGCCAGTTTACCGGCCGGTTTAATGGTAGTTCAAGCGATAATAAACCGGCAAAAAACCGGTCGATTCTATAGCAGATTAAAGTCCGGATTTTGTGATAAAACGATTTTTTGCAGAAAGCTAACCTTGTGTATTTTCAAAATCTTCCTGTTATGGTTATTTCAGTATTAACGTGAGGTATTGAGCACGAAGTTCAACCCAATACGAAACGAAGAAAAATTCGCGGACTAGTTTCTGATGATGTATGAAACTCAGTAGGAAAAACAATATAGATTAATCACGTTTTAATGGAGAAAAAAAACCTTTTTTTCGGGCTAATATTTCATGAAGAAGGAAATGTTTTCGGACGAATGTTTTCGAAATGTGAAAGAAAATAATGGGAGAAAATTTTAACCTGTGTTCATCTATATCCGAAATTCGCAAGTGATAGGACAAATGTAAAATGAATTAATAGGTCATTTTTGGATCTACTGCCTTTTTTCAACCTCCCTTGGGCGATTCCAGTTGACATCTCGAACTTTTGTTATACAATAGTCATCTTTCGCTTATGATTCGAAACCGACAGCAACCGGTCGATTGAAGTGTAGTTAAACTGGTAAAAAAACCGGTGTTAACTGGCCGGTCCGGTTCCAACTCTGTACTGGAGAGCTGGACCTCTTATTTGAAAAATATTTATCTCCCTATCTACTACTGGCTATCTATGAAGAGTGGAGGTGCGATGCCAATTTGTATTCTCTCAAACCATCAATCAGCCGGAGATCTTTTTTCTTGCTTACTTTTTTTCTCTCTTCTGTTTTTTCTTTTCGTTCGTCCCGTTAATTATCCGTTACGGCTTTGCAAAAAACATACCTTAGATTTACCTCATTTTTTATTATTAGCGAGTCGAGCATTAGCATTCTCCGCGGAGTTTGAACGTACATTCGGCTCGATTTGAAAGTTGAGATAGTTTAAAGCTTAAACCATAATTGAGATCTAAGTGCAAGATTGTCTATAGTAAAGGAGGTCAGCACAAAAGAGAGATATGAATCTTTTGTATCGTTGGAAAAAGCAATGTTTAGGATATAGTTGTGCTGTAAAACAGTTGATACTCACTCCTTTTTTCATCAAGTTGAAAAATCATGTTTTTCGCCTTTTATTTCGATTTTCCCAAGCCATACGTACAGAGAGGTTATTTGTCGAAACTTTGAAGTTGATTATACGGAGAACTTTTGATGCTCCACCAATTGGGCGATACAGATTTTATTTGATTGACAAAGAAAAATTGAGACACCTCAGTTGGAATTTTTAAGCAATACTGGTTTACGCTAATGTTTCGACGAGTTAGCACCCTAGAGTCCTGCGGGATAAATCTTTCTGTTGCCCCAAGCTCAAGCCCATGAGCAAATAATGTTGTCCCGAACCCGTCTACCCCGTGCAAAAAACTTACGAGCTTTTTTGTCCCGTAATTTTTTGAAAAATGTTTTTTGTTGTGATAAAAAAAGTCTCTTACTTAGTTTTGCAAGAAATCCGCATGAGAAAATTTAAGCCTAATTTATTTGATTCTAAACTTACAAGTTGCTATATAAAAAATATTTTACATTCAGTATTACATGAATTAAACATTTGAAGCTGCAGCATTACGATCAAAAGACAAAACTTACGGAACAACATTTTTCTGCAACTTGTTTCGACCCCAAGAAATTTTTTACTTGCTCAAGCCCAGGCCTCTAAATTTCTTTCTGTCCATGATCCCGTCTGTCCCACGAGATGGACAGACGGAATGGAATCTGGGGCTGTCCCGCACGACTCTAAGCAGCCACTCTTTTTAAAAATACGTTGTCTCTATGTAAGTGAGTGTCGGCTGCAATATGCACATACTGAAATCTTGACGAGTTCAGGTCGTGTAAATCTGTGAGCCACTGCACGGAACATCCACCGCTTAACTTTACAGGATACAATATCGTCGGCGACGGTACACCAGCTGCACTTTTCCCCATTTTAACCGGACAAACCGAAGTTGAACTACCAGAAAGTCGTCGTGGCCATGCTGGAGCTACAACAGTAGACAAATTTCCATGGATTTGGAAAAAATTTAAGGGTAATTACTGCATTGATTATCATCTGTCATATCATCAATATTTTTTTGTTTTTCTATGTCAGCTAATGGTTATGTGACGCAATGGGGTGAAGATTATCCATCTATTGGTACATTTCAACTGCGTCTGCTAGGCTTTCGTGATCAACCTGTTGATCATTATGCACGGCCATTCTTAATGGTTGCTGAGAATCGTAGAACAAAACATGAGTTCTGTTTTGGTTCAATTACTCGATTAAAAAGTATGTTAAATTGGATAAAAGAACTATTTGAAATGTATCCTTCAAATCAACCAAAGTTTTCATTTCTACTCCATAAGCAATATTCTCATAATTCAAATAATTATTTGCCCTACGCTGATGATGAAACATTGCAATTTCTTCAATATATGAATAAACATGGCTATTTAGATAATACAATGTTAATGATAATGACCGATCATGGTGCTCGATTTTCACACTTTAGAGAATCATATCAGGGAAAATTAGAAGAACGTTTACCGTTTATGTCTATTCGTATGCCACCGAAATTTCAAAAACAGTATCCCCATATCATGCGTAATTTACGTTTGAATTCACATCGTCTGACTACTCCATTCGACATTCATGAAACATTTTTAAATCTAATTGATTTTCATTCACATCAAGGTAAATATCAATCAAAAACAAATCGTTCCTACAGCCTATTTCAGCTGATACCAGAAACACGTAAATGTGAAGAGTCAGCTGTGGGAATTCATTGGTGTACTTGCTCACAATGGTCAGAGATATCCCTGCCATCACCTATCATTGAGCAATTTGGCAAGGCTGCAATTCAGTTTCTTAATTATTTTGTACGTGATGCTCAAGAAAAATGCGCAGAACTAACACTATATCAAATACTTAAAGCACATCAAGTATCTACCAGCAGTAAGAAGAAAAAACAAATCTATCAAATACAGTTTGAAACACGACCTGGTAATGGACGATTTGAACTAACAGCAACTTACGATCGGTCCACAAATACATTTGATATAAAGAAAAAAAATCTAAGTCGAATTAATAAATACGGTAAAACATCAGCATGTATAGCGCACAAGCGGCCAGAATTTAGGGAAATATGTTACTGCTCTACACTATTGTCTAAAGAATGATAAAACCGGAACGTCGCCACACCCGTGACGACAATCAGCATTATGTGTCTCAATTGTTTTCGAAAATAAATATTTTTCCGTGCAGTCTGTCGAAGAACCTTTTATCTGGTATTTTTCTGTGTATTCTCTCCTATTAAGCGTCTGAACCACAGATTTTTAAAATGCTGTGCTAGTGTCTAATCTATTGAAAAACCATCTGAAACTACACGTCTTTTAGGATTTTTTCGATATAAACGGTAAATTTACGATTCTTAGGATGATTAGAAATAGGCTGTGTAAATTGTTAACTAGTTTCATGGACTGATCCATTATGTTTATCGATGGTGGTCGATGTTGTTGATGATGGCAAAGATATGTCGATAGTATTAACATGTCATTTGTGATTAGAAATATACATCAGTCCTATGTTTGTATTTACTTGGAACACAGTTATTTTGTGAGTTGGACTATGAATTTGAAACTGTGTTGTATAATTTGTATATATATATATCAGTTTCATACAGAATAATATTAATCCTAATCACAATGTAGTGTTTACTGGAATTATCCATAATTCTTTTTTAATTGTTTTTGACTGTCTCATAGAATGTATTATTTTCCATCTTTGGTGGATGCGCAAAAGTGTACAAATAGATGGCTATTGAAATACAGTATCCTGAAGATGACCATTGACGTGAGTGGCACCCATCTTGGGATAATCGTTAATTATGTGCGTAAACTCTTATTGAAGAAAAACATTTTATACAATATTTTTGTATTTACACAAATTGTAGTATTGATAGTTTCTGAGGATGCTACTTTCTATTGTAAATGAGTTGTTATTTATGTCAAATAAAGAAATTAAAAATCGTGATAAAAGTTATATCACACCTTTTTGCACATGTGTTTTTTACTGAATAGTGAAATAACTAGAACAGAAAGATTTTGAAAATACACAAGCTTAGCTTTCTGCAAAAAATCGTTTTTTCACAAAATCTGAACTGTAATTTGCTATGGAATTGAGGTTTTTTAAACCGGGCGGGTATTTGCCAGTTTATTACCGATTGAATTACGCATTAAACTAGACGGTTCGGTTTTTTGGAAAAACTGAACCGGCCGGTCCAGATAGGAAAAATTCGACCGGTTCGAACTCTGATTAATAGATCATCAAATTTGTTTAGAGAAAATTAAAAAAAAACACATGTGCAAAAATGTGTGATATAACTTTTATCACGGTGATTCCACCTTATTCCACTTACAGTACTGTGACATCAAATACAGGATAATGGGCTGTTCATTTAATAACTTTCCCTGTAACAGTTTTTTATTATTTTAAGACCATACTTGGGTATTTGTTAGAGAG